CTACTGTGAACATCTTTTCACTTTTTATTTCTATTTGACCAGGATTGTCCTCATTTATGTATGCTTTCCTGAGGACTTACTTAATTTAACCTCCAGTCACACTCAGAAGTGTCCCAGTTTGGAAGATAAATAATATGGTCATATTAGAATTAATTAGCCACAAGAGGAGTCAGAACCCCAGTTGGACTGACAGAATTATTTAGCTTGACAGGCTCCTCAGCAAACTGAATGCCATTTACATAACCATCTTCCCACTTACTGATTGCTAATCCCTAGCGCTCATTATCAGAAAACACCTCCTGAGACATTCTCTCTGACTCTTTTCCCCAGCCAAACCTTTATTTGTATCTTCTAATGTGTGCTTTCAAATCTTTATTTTGAAACAAACTTCCCTGAAAATCTGAATTTGGCAATCATATAATCACAGGAGGCTGATCCGCAAATTATTTAAATTCAATAACTTATCAAATGCTATTCGGCATCTTCCTCCAGAGTTCAGTTTTCCCCCAAATATCTAATATTGTATCTGGGTGACAATATATTAGAAGAGCTTAACAAATGGACCCTAAATATAACTGTAGGCAAAAAAAGTAGATGTGTGTTTCTTGCTTCTTGGTTTCTGGTTAATGGGTTTCTGGAAGAGGAGAGAACTCTACTACTTTCTCCCATTTAAAATAGGCCAAGGGTTGCTGGGCCATTCCCAGGGCTCTCTCAGGCATTGCTATTCCAAATTGTCAGCGGGGGGAATAAGTATGAAGCAGACCATGGCAGGAAGCTGGGACAATAGTAATGGGCCACATACCAATGTGACATATGTTACTCCTACTCACTTGATATTACCTAGATCCCAATCTCACGATTAGATATAATTGCAAGGGAGATTGAAAATGTATGCTAGACATATTACAGGAAAAGGGGAAATAACACAGATTTTGATAGAAGGCAATCTCTGCCACATGTGGTGCTAATCTACTAACTGGTCTTCCCAGTCTCTTTTTACCTATGGTACATTATTCATATTACAGACAGAAAAAAAATTAGTAAAACACATCACATCATGTTACCAGGTTACTTTATTGTTTAAAACTTTTCTTTCATTCTCCAGCATATCTATGGCAAAATCCAAATTTTGACTCTCAGACTATAAGGCCTAGAATAGTCCTGACCAGCCTGTCTTAAACTAGCCTGTTGATTCCCACTATCAGTTCTCAGGTATTACCTACCTAATTTTTCCCATCCATCCTTATGATTATTATAATCATGTTCACAATGAGTAACCAAAAATTCTATCACAATGGTTTAAACGAGGAAAAAAGGCAGGGGGTGGAACTTATTTAACTCATACAACAAAATGTTAAAGATAGAACATATAGAATGTTCTGATGGCTTCACCAGTTGCTAAAAGACTCAAGGTCCTTTTAATTATTGACACAATCATGATTTTTTTCCTGTCTTTTGTCCTCATACAAAACAAACAAACAAACAAACAAAACTCTGCATTACCTCTAGGCATCTCATTCTGTAAGGACAGGGGTAAATAGAAAGCCTGAAGTCATCTTCCTATAGGAATTCATTTATATATTCTGAAAAAAAAATTCTACCTCATATTTCCTCCATTACTGCATTGACTACAAAAGTGTCACATTGATAACTTCTACAAGCAAAAAAGATTGGACTTTTTAACTTTTAGAAAAAGTAGAATCAGAAATGAGAAATGCTGTACACAGATTTTCTACCATCCGTTCACAGCCCCTTCCAAATCACAGATCTTTATAACCACATTTTCGGCCAGTTGTATAACTTTAAATTAAATGTCACCTCTTCACAGAGGACTTCTGTGTGATTATTTTCCATGTGTCATTCTACATCATTCTTTACCTTGCCATGTCCCTAAGAAACTAACCTTTGTAGAGTACCACAATTGCATTTGAGACCTTTGACTTGTGGTCATCTAGAGAATTGGAAGAATGACAAAAGGCTGTTCTTGGGTTATTCATCTCCCATCTCCCTCATTGCCTGTCCAAAGATTGTCCCTCTCCTATCTGTCACACATCTCCTATAGTTAATTTATCTGAAATTCTCTACATATTTCCTCCACATGCTATTTTAGGCTTAGGAAGAAAACTAAAACTATTTTTTGTTTGTTTGTTTGTTTTTTTAACTACTAAAAATAAGGTCACAATGGCAGTCAGTCTTATCACCCTATTTTAAATCTGCCCAATACTTACCACTGTCTCAATTGTTTGATTATATATATGGTCTTTTCATCTCCATGGCATCATGTAAGCTTCTTGAGAGGAGACATGATGTCTTTTGTTTTCTCTATTTTATTTCTAGCACTCTGTATACTGGTTGTCATGCAATATCTGTTCAAGATATATTGACTGAATAGTGTTATATTTATGTTTGCTAATTGAACATGGCCTGATTTCCTCCTTCCTCCATAACCCAAGTTCTCATACACTTTCATTTCCCCATCATGCCCCTGTTAGTTTCAGTAAAACACCTCTGGACGCTGAATGTATCTGGAGTTGAAGTCTACCACTTTCTTGGACTTTTAAACTCCTGCTTATCACAATATTTTATCATGGCTCTTGAATTCTACTCGCATGTCTTTTTTCCATGCAGATTTCTGAATTGCTTCCTTTGGCATTTCCTGTGCTCAGTTTGTTATCTTCAGCCATGTAAATGGTTGCTAAGCATTGAGTCTAATTAGGGATCAAGGAAAAGCCATGTATCAGTGATGTGGTGATGTGATTGCTGATGATAAATGGCACACAGGATACATTCACTCCTTCATTGTGGACAAACTGACACAATTTTCATTCTTAGAATATGCTAGTATGACTTTATGTTTGTCACAGTTCCAAATTCCATTTCAAGGAATTTGATTTCTGACATGTTCAGAAATGGATTAAATATGCCATCACACTTTCAGGAATACTAATTGATTGACTTTGTGCTCAAGGCAGTTTCTTAATTATTCTTTTACACTGAAATACAGTTGTGCCCAGAAATTAAAGTGCAAACAAATTAAACTGAGTACAACACAGTTTCCTATTCAAACACAGGTACAACTGAAACACAGACAAATTTCTGAACTCAAGATCCAGAGGCTAAACATCCAATGGGAAAGGCATAAACAAAATGTAGTCAACACAGTTATAATATTGGGGTTAACCACAGTTCTGCTTCTGTCAGAGGCAGGCTAATCTATTTATTTGTGCCTTAGTGTTATTGTTATTACCTCATGTTTTAGATGGACTGTTAATATTTCCATCAATAATATTTTAGCATGGGGTGATATCTTGAAATATATTTCCTATATATACTTTAAATTGATATACACACAGGCAGACAGTATGCTTAAAAGTGAAAAAATAAATATTATGTAACATTTGGAATTCTCCCTAATATTTTATAGTGGAAAATACATAAAAAGGGTCAAGATTAGAGGTTACACTCAGCTCAAATTTACTGGAAGAACATAGATGAGTAAGAAATGATATGTGAGCAATATCATATTGAGTATCGTAAATACTAGAAAAAAATATTTTGAATGTTCTAATCACAAAGAAATAACAAAATCTGAGGTAATAGATAAGCCAAATACCCTGATCTTATTGTCATACAATGTTTACATGTATGGAAACTTCACACTGTTCTAAATAGACATGTACAGTTATTATTGTGTTCAATTAAGAACAAAAGAAAGGGTATATCAATGTATGTTTGTATTCATAAAGTATTTAATATTGAATAACCTGTTAAGTAGTCTCAGCTTTATGTTTAAAATAATAAGACACTTCTGAGAAGAGCTAACACTGAAGGATAGGAGGAGAAAGGTGAGAGTTTGTGAAATATTCAATGGGTTTGCCCATCTGTGATCAGCAGTTACAGTGCTTTCTATGGCTCATTTTATTTGAACTCTTCTCCTCTACAATTAAGAACTGTTTTTCAAGGGAGGAATCCTTTATACAAAATAAGCAGAGTATCAGTGTGCTGTCCTCCTCACCTGCTGCTACAGTGAAATTCTAGCAGCTTACTCTGACTCTTGTCCCACTTTAATTTCAAAATAAATGAGTCAAAATAAAACATGAGAAAAGCCTCCCAAAGGGAGAGAGAAATCCAAACAAGATCATGATTTTGGCATATTTATTTTTAAACCTCCCCAGTGCATTTAAAACTTAAAGTAGAATTGTATTTTTAAATGAATGATTACTTTCAAAATGACAGAATTAATATTTTTACAAAGCAGTACGATAGGTAAAAACACTCAAATAAAAATAGCCTACTAGTCAAATGAAATCTTTTGTGTATTTTGGGAAGTATACTTCTTGGTTCTTCTCTTATTTATCTATATATGTGACTTATTTCCAGGTGTAAGAGGGCTATTTTCCCTTGTGGAAGTATGTCCTGATAAACAATAGAGGTGGAAATAGGAAGAATCAAAGTTACTGAGCCATAGATCCATCGTAACTGTTGTAACTCAACTGTGTATCCCACATTTCCAGGCGAAGAGTCCCTAGTCCAGCATGCCCCATACTGAGGATGATGTATTGAGTCTTTAAGACAACAGAAAACTCTCAAAAAGTAACATAGAGTAGGTAGGAAGTTGACTTCTCATGTACCAAAATAAAAGGAGGATTGCACATTCCTCTTTAATTGCCCTTTCTCAAGAACTCACTCTTCATGTTGCACCTGCTTCACTTGGGAAATTGCAGAGAAAAATGAATTGAGCTTTTGACTGAAGCACTTCAGCAGGGGTTGACTTGGGGCATTGGAAACTGAAGGAAGAATTATATCTCTTCCCCAAATTGAGAGAGAGAGTGGAAATTCCACAGCCTTTCATTTTTCAAGGTGGGAGGACCAGGTTTTCATTAAATTTCCTCCACTAAATGACATAGATGCTACATTTAGACATGGTGAGGCAAATAGCACTAAAATAAATAGAATGTTCCCTTAGAATTTTACAAGATATCTGATATTGAATGGATCCTATGGGTAAGCGACTCCTTGAAACATCTAAATGAACAGTGGAAATGCACTACATAGTAATGGTTAAAGAGCTGAACTGTAGAGTCAGAGTATCTGGGTGAACATCTCAGTTCTACCATTACAGGTCATGTGACAGCAATTTTTCAAGTATCTGTGTGCCTCAGTCTCCCCTGACGATAAAATGGAGATTATATTCATTATAGTAAAGAGAGAAAATCATCAGTAATGTCACTCCCATAGGATATTTTAACTTCTTCTTTGCTGTGTCCTCACTACCAAATCCTTATCATCCTAGGCACATCGTGAATATTCAATAAGTATAAGTAGATGTGAAATGAAGATATGAAGAGAATTCAGCAAGGGAAAAGAAAGCATCTATTCCACATATTCTTATGGCAGCCTTTGGAGATACTAATTGTCATATTGTTGTCCTAGGGAGGCTGGAGACCCCCCAAAATGTGAATGGTATGAGATATAATTGAACTCAGAATAGTATATTTTAAATATGGTAAGAGAGTTAAGAACTGGTGAGTACAAAGGGAATTAAGAGTATATTTCTGTTCTCTAAATAAGAGGAGGTGAGCAATTTTATATATTGAAAAGTCAATAGCGAAGACAAAGACTGAAGGTACAGGAGTGCAAAGGAGAAAATGTGACATATAGCTGCCCACTTCATTGCAGAATTTTAGATGAGACTGTGTGTCCTAGCAGTAAAATATGTTCGGCTGGGACTGAGACAGATGGTTTTAAGGGAATCAGTGTATGATTCTGATCTTCCACATATAACCATTCCTATTTGATCTGCCTGAATAATTTTCCCATGACTTTTCCAAAATCATTCTTTTTTTTTTTTTTTTTTTTTTTAAAAAAAAAAGATGCATTGCTCCAGGGATACACAGTTCCAAATGAAGGGACATTTCTCAGTATTGGAAATGGTGCTGAAAAAAAATTATTCTTATGCCTAGCTAATAAATTATTCTTCAGTAAGGAGTTTTCCAATTCTATAGTTTGAAAAAATTGTAGTATTGCCTCATAAAATTGTCATCTGATATATCATTAAGAAAAAGTGTAATGATATATCCCACAATGATTGTTAGCATATTACATGGAAAGAATTTCTTAGAATTTATATTTGTAAGCATATCAAAAATAGTAATACAGGGCTGGGTTGTGGCTCAGTGGTAAAGCACTTGCCTGGCACATGTGGGGTATTGGGTTCAATCCTCAGCACCACATAAAAAATAAATAAATAAATAACATAAAAGTATTGTGTTCATCTACAACTAAAAAAAAAAATTAAAAATAGTAATACAACTGATGATAATATGACTCACTCTAGCATAAAAATTGACAATTAATTTAATTATAATTCTTCTAATTTAATGATAATTGATATTAAATTAAATTTTTAATTATAATTTTTACCAAATGTTTTCTTTATATTTATTTATATGAATTTGGATAATACTGGGCATAATAACTTAATCTAGAGTTTATGCAAATTGGCTAACAGTTATAAGTGAACTTTAAAACTAAATGTGTTTATTTTCAATAACAAGTTTTCTGTTGTATATGAGTGCTGACAAATATCCAATTAATAAGATAACTGAAGAATAAAGTATGTTACAATAAGGCAAACTTTATTTGGAAAAAGTAATAGAAATTCAAACTTATTATAGTACAAAGAAATTATCAATTTTATGTTTATAAAGACATAAATATTGTTTTCCTTTATATTTTTTTAAATATAATTAAATGACTGATATAACATTTTTAAAATTATTAATACTTAGAATGCATTAGAAAGTCTAATTCTACCATTTAAATGTATGTTAAAATATTTTGATATCAATTTGAAAATCTGTGCAGAGATATAATTATCAAGACTCTGTTATGGGGCACACAAAATACACTTTTGGAAACCATTGATATGAAGCACTGACAAAACTTTTCATCTTGAACAAGAGCTACATTTCTTCCTTGGGGACAAAAAGTAAGCAGGTGAAATAGGTGTAAAAAAACTGCATTGGATGATGAGGGAGAGATTTTTTTTTTTTTTTTAAATCACTTTGTAGCTATAATTCTTTTTTTTTTTTAGAGAGAGAGAGAGATAAATTTTTAATATTTACTTTTTAGTTTCGGCAGACACAACATGTTTTTTTTGTTGTTGTTGTTGTTTTGTTTTTTGTTTGTGGTGCTGAGGATGGAACCCGGGCAGCACGCATGTCAGGTGAGCGGGCTACCCCTTGAGCCACATCCCCAACCCTTGTGGCTATAATTCTTTCAATGAAATTGGCATCTGGAAATGCTGGGTAAATTTTTATGTTATTCAGAGTTTATTTTATGTAGTAAGGAGAAAATACAAGGAAAGTGACTAATATTGGGAAGATTTTAATACTCTCAGGCATTATAAGAGATAATATTAAGTTCTAGGGAACTGAAAGTGTAGCACAGCCCTCAGTTGCTTGCCTCATACATGCAAAGTTCTGGGTTCAATCCCAACAATGCAAAAAACAAACAAAACTGAAAACAGAGAGGAATATTAATTGCTATTTCTAAAGGAAACAACAGTAATATCAATGCCTCTTTAAAACATTGCTTCTCATTCTCTTGAATAGTTTTCAAAAACTTGGGCTTGAGTCACACAACACTTAGCATACTCCTCCTACATGAGACTCCCATATAATGGAAAGTTAGCTGAATGTCTTCAGAGATGAGCAGAATTTTGTAGGGGTGTGAATTGAATGATAATATAACTTGACTCTGTCTCTAAAATATGTCATTAATGAAGTTTTAAACACCCAAGTTATAAGCATTTTACAATAAACTTGTAAATGCATTGGTTTTCCAGAATATTCAAGCAACCCCTTCCAGGCCAGGTGGAATGAATGAAGGTTTCTGTTCACATCGATGAAACTAGGGAAACTGAATAAGGGAAGGAAAGTCAATACTCCTGAGCACCTACTGCATGCCAAACACTAGGCAAAGTGCTTAATCTTTCTCATTCTAATAAATTCAAAACATAAACTAATGAGTAGGTCTTATGATTGTTCCTGTTCAAAAAGTAAGGAAAAGGAGTGTTAAAATAGCTTAATGTATAACCCAGTACCACATAGGCAATATGAAGATGTACTGAATCCCAGTCTAAGACTTTCTGATACTCTAGTCATTATAACAGAAAAATAGAAATTTGAAAAAAAGATATGTCAGAATAAACATTTTAAGACAGGTGGGGTTTAGGACTGGGTAAAGCCAAGGCACACCCAAATTATAGTGGACAATATTCATTTAACTCTATTGTTTATTGGACACTGTGTAAGTTATTTTCTCTTAAGTGTTGGAAATTTAAATGTACTATTATAGAATGATTGAGAAAAACAAATATTTTTTTTCCTTGCTTGATTACAAGAAATGCATTGCATTATTTCATTTGTTGTCAATTAAACACAAATGAAGACATGTAAGTTAAATCTGCAAGATCACATTCTTAATTGGAATGCTAGCTTACTTATTTAATATGCATCTCTGACTAACTTATAATTGATACACAAAAATTAAAATATATCTGAGGGATACAGTGAAGTGAGATGTTAGTTAATTTTGAAAATAAAACATGTTGCTCATTGAGTTTCTCTTTCTTGTTAACAAACTTGATGACAAGAAGAGTACTTTATTATCTCTATGGATGTGTGTAGAGTAAAATCAATAATTAAAATGCTCATTCACAGAACTACTTATTTACATGCAGTTTTGGTTGTCAAATTTAACATTAGTTAAATTGAAAACAATGCATATAAATGTTACAGCAGAATTGACAGCAATGACTCAAAAATTATCGTGGGATTATATCATCACATTTAGAGACTTAGATAAAATTGGTAGAGAAAGATGATTTTGGTGATATATTTCATACTTTATTCTTATCTGAGGAGAATTATTATCATGTAACACTTCCTTATATTGCAAATACATTTTGGAGGATGGTAATACTATGTGCAATATATTTTCTAAGATAATGATTGAGAGTTAAATATGTTCACATATAGCTTCATCATTAAAATTATAAACTTAGAGCAGAAACTTAATCATTTGTTTTCCTACAGAAGATGTACCATTTTTGCACATTAAGAAAGAGAAACAAGATAAAAAACCCACAATAGGGAGAAAATGAGACACATCTTTACTAGTATAATATTTAATAATTTGCCTTCCTTTTAGTAATCTCTGTTCATTTTTTTCTTCATAATTATCATTTTTCTAGGACAGGTAGTTCTAAAGCAGCTACATTTCAATCATAACTTTAAGATTACTCAAAAATAATCTGATAACACCTCATGGCAAAATTCACATAATTATTTATTCCAGTGGAAGTTATATATATAATTAATGAGCAACAGTTAAATATTTTAGAAGATAACACAGGTATTCCCCTCTTATCTTTATGCTGACCAGCTGTGGTCTGAAATTCTACAGAAATTATAACTTTAAAAGCTAAAGCAAGATCAAGAGCTTAGATGCTATCATGAATTTTTTTATTTGGTCTTCTGTTATTGCTCAGGAGTTTTGGGACTAAGAAAGTGCCATTATCACCTCTTTGGTTGGATGATATAATAATTGGGAAAAACTGGGTCAAGATCTATTTTCCCCAACAAACTTTAAAATAAAAGGTTTTTTTTTTCTTTCTTTCTTTTTCTTTTTTATGATGACTCAAATTTTTTTCTTGTTCAAATACAATTCTTTTAACCCCAGCCAGTGCAATCAGGCAAGAAAAGAAAATTAAAGGGATATAAGTTGAAAAAGAAATGATATTATCGTTGATTGCTGATGATATTAAAACTAAAGTTTTGAGATGAAAGTTGATTCTCTGCTTCTAATAGCAGGTCAAACTGGAGTATTTCTGCTCCTTCTGGCAGATGGGTCTGTACCAGCTGCAGGCCTCTGTAGCTGTGAAGTGTTGTAGCTCTTAATAGTGGGCCATGCCCTCTAGTGTTGCAACTGACCCCAGCAGTTCATGTTCAATTTCTTCTTCTTTCTGGGTTCTTATCTCATGAATGCAAGAATGAAATACAAAGACCAGGTCAAGTGAGTCTAATGATAGGATTATTTTGAAGAATAGGAAAAGAACTCTTACAGTACAAGAGGGGACCTGATAGCTGGTTTTCTCTGTCGTAATATGATCATCTAGGGGTTTATATAGTATTTGGTTCACTTCCATAGGGATAAAATTATGCTAATTAGTGTTAGGCAATGTAGTAATATTATTGTCAATTTGCGTCCATCTCAGTTTTGCCCTACTTCTGCTTTTTTTCATACTTTGGGAAGCAGGGGATTGAAGTCATTGACTGCACATGCTCAGTGGGGTGTCTAAGGCTGCAGTGCTGCGTGGACTGACTTGCCCCTGCACATCTAAGCACTGGCCCACTGTTCCTCTGTCCTGCCATGCCTGTGTGACAGGCTCTGTACATCCACGGCCACACTTGTCACCCTCTTTCCAATACATCCAGGCCACTGCTCTGCTGCTGCTTCAGGCTGGCCATGTGGCTTGGTAGGAGGGGAGCCATATGACTAAATATGATCCTATGACTAAAAAAAAGCTTCACCAGAAGACTTCTAGAGCTGACAAATTCAACAAAGTAGCAGGAAGCACAGTCAACATACAAAAGTCAATGTTTTATTATACTCTAATAATGAACCTGCTGAGAAATAAATCAGGTCAACAATTACCATTCACAATAGCCTCCAAATGAGAAAAAAAAAGAATAGAAAAAAAAAACTTGGAATAAGTTTATCTAAGAAGGTGATAAACTTCTACAATAAAAAATATAAAACACTGAAAAAATAAATTGAAGCCCTCTGAAGATGGAAAGACCTCCTTTATTCTTGAATAGGTGAAATTAATGTTAAATGATACTAAGATCATGCATGGTGGTGCATGCCTGAGATCCCAGGGGATAGGAAGGCTGAGACAGAAGTTTCACAAGTTCAAAGCCAGCGTCAGTAACTGTCATGCTAAGTGAAAAAAGCCAGACCCAGAAAGTCAAGGATCTAATGGAATGGGAAAAGTTACAAACTACAGAATAAAATTGATCAAATTAAGCTTTAGTTTATGCAGGTTACATCTATTGATACTTACCATTTTTTAAATTAATAATAATAAAATTTTAATTAACTTATTTACATATTAGTACTTTTATTAAAATTTGTCAAAATAAAGTATCAGATGGAATAAGCAAATACTTTCCAAATTAACTTAAAAATTGGTGAAAACAGTGGCTGTTTCATATTGTATAAATCTCTTCACTGTCTAGTTTAACAACATACAACTGAAAGCTAATTAGACTTCTTTGTTTTCTGAAAAACTTTGTAAAATCCTTTACACAAGAAACCATTTCATTAAAATTTTATCTAAAGCCTGGTATATAGTAGATCACCAATATATCTTTATGAATGAATGAATCGATAAAACCAAGTATTCAGGTATGTTCCATTTGTGTTTGAAAACTTCCTTTGATAAGACAGCTCAATACCCTTTTTATTTCCTTGCTTTTTGAATTGCACTATTCTACTTTGATATTCAATACTAAAGCAACAAAAACAAAATGTGTCTTTAATGTGTTTGGTTTATGTTAGATTTTGGCCCTAGTGTGGGAGAAATTAAGTAAGCTGAGTAGGCACAAAAATAATTATTCAGCATACAATAATATGTGGTGTTACTGTTATCCAAAGTACAAGTATAAAGACACGAATTTGTGTGAATATACTTTGTATACAACCAGAGATATGAAACATTGTGCTCTATATGTGTAATAAAAAAGAATTGTAATACTTTCCACTGTCATATATAAATAAAAAAATAAACAAGTAAATAAATAAATTAATTAAAAAAGAAAAAAAAGTACCTTCTAATCCCATTCCCAAATATCAGGTGTCACTTTGGGTAAAATACTGGCTAGTTATAGGGAAAATTCTTATTTATTTAAATAAATTGATAAGTTTATATAATGTACTATAATGATGTAATTAGAAGCATATCCAGTCTCTGGACCCACGGCCGAGGCCTTGCATGTGAGCTGGGGCCAGGGTAGAGGGAGGAATGGAGCAAGCCGTTCACCCGCTGACTGGGAGCTTCAGCCCCTCACCCGCCTTGGAGCCCTGCTGAGTATTCTCTGTTCACAGTATTCTCCCGGTTTGGCCTTCTATATTCTGTCCGGGTCTTCCCAAACGCTGCAGTGGCCCGCCCTGGTTTCTATGCCATCATTAAGTTTTATTCAGCAAGGGATGCCAAAAGAGCCCAGGTAGCATGCGACAGGAAACTGCTTTTTCAGAAATCTCCATTGAGGGTTCGTCTTGGCACCAGATATAAGGTAGTTCAACATCAAGCCTTTGCCCTAAACAGTTCACAATGCCAAAAACTGGCAAATTACTACTTTGGTTTCAATGGATGGTCAAAAAGGATCATTAAGCTTCAGGAGCTTTCTGACCTGGAAGAAAGGGAAAATGATGCTCTGGAGTCACCACTGGAGAAGCGAAGCCTGAAGTTCTTCTGTGCTTTAGAGATGGTGTTGCCATCCTGTGTATGCAGGAGTCCGGGAGTAGGCATTGTGGACGAACCTTTGGATCAGCTGGAGGAAGGACCATTATTATTCCTTATGAAAAGAAAGAAGGCCCAGAAGCTTGCTGTTCAGAAGGATTTATCAGATGCATTCCAGAAACTGTTCATTGTAGTTTTAGCAATGGTCTCAAATTTGTCCTGTGATGAGAAGATGGCCGCTGCGCACGGGGGTTGCTGAAGTGCTGAGCGTGGTGCTCAGAGCAGCGGCTTTAATCAAGATTTCACACAGCCTGTAAGAACTCCTTTCACCGTTAATCTGTAGCGGACCTCTTTGCCAAGCAGCAGGAAGAACAAAGAGATCGAAAAAGAGACGCTTGGCTCCCGGACGCTTTGCCACCCAGAGCTGCGGGCGCTTTGCTCCCATCTGCTTCCTCTTTTGCTTCGCTCCAGGCAGAAAAGGTGAATGTGTAATCAGCAGTGGATTGTAAGTACCCGAGGCAAAGAAAGCTCAGTGCGCCCCGCCTTTTTTTTTTTTTTTGAATATTTTTTATATAGGGAGAGTTTGTGGATTGGGATCATTGGCTGGGCTACAGTTTCTGTGCTGAAAATCCACTCCGCGGGAGCCCCATTTGCTTTCTGCTGGCTGTCTTGATCGCTATGGCTACATTGTCCGGCAGCTGCACCTAGAGGGTGGAGCTGGGCTGCGTGCAGAGCCCTGTCCTCCAAAGGCTGGACCGCAGTCTTGAGCGCCTGGGTCGCCTGTTCGCCGCTGCACCCTTGGGCAGAGCCTGCTCTGGGGTCGTTCTGCATGCCCCTGCGAGGGGACCCGTGCTTCAGAGGAGGGAGCCGGAGAGCCGCGGCAGCAGCCACTTAGGCCCCGGGGGCTGGGCACCGGTTGGCGGTGCAGCTATGGTCGCGGACGAGCGCGGCGCCCCTGAGCGTGGCCCCAGGGAAGAGGCGATGGTGGCAGGGTTTAATTTCTAGAAATCTGGACTGGAAACAGAAGCAGCAGTTTGTATAATCCCAAGAACTTGCTTATGCCAGGAAGCTATAAGGGCAACATGAATATCATTGAGGAGATCTAACATGGCAGCGGGCGGGGAGAGATCAAGTCTCTGACCTCTTCAACTGCGCAGGCATAGGGAGCTGTAAACTGTATAAATGCTGTTTGCTCAGGATCACTAGGCAATGCTGAGCTGACGTGGATCTGGGGTGTACAGTCTGGGCCCCTCAGAACACACACACCGAGCCCGGATCGGCTGCATCCAAGCTCCGGTTCGCCTGCTTCTCATGACTCAGCACTAACAATCCCACTGAAATAACTGGTTGGCCCTTAGGAACTTTCAGAGGTAAAAACCAACCGAGCCTTCATAGGCAGTGGCCACAGGATTGAAACGGGGATTGGGAGAGACAGTCAGGACCCACCCGTTGCACTGGTCACCCGGCAAAGGGAACGAACGGTCACCATTTACATGTGATACCACCTTGGCAGAGAACTGACGTCACGGGCGGAGGAGATAACTGCATTGAAACCAGTGCAACAGGGCTCCCAGGAGCAGCAGACATGACGTGTAGCCAGTATTGTGGTGAGCGTCACAGGTGAGCGCAGCCTGGCTTGAGGAAACACAAGAGAAGGCCCTAGGCACTCAGGATTGGAGACCCGCCCAGTCTGTGAGGAAGAGCTGCTACACAGTGATTGGTTCCCACTTAGTGAGAGGAGAAGCTTGACCCAGTGGGCACAGCTCCACCTACTGGAAGAGAAATTAATTGAACTCTATGACTGCATTTATTATTATTATTATTATCAATTTTTTTTCCTTTTCTTTTTTTTCTTTCATTTTCAATTTTTTATTGTTGTTGTTCTTTAACTTTTTTTAATGTTTCTAATTTTTTTTTCATTATTTTTATTATTATTATTATTATTTTAATTTTAATTTTCATTATTTTTATTATCATTATTATTTTTGTGTAGCGACCCCTTGCCCGCAAGGAAGACGCAACTCAGGAATCTTCTTTCAGCAGTTTATTCAGGCCCTTGATATTTCTTCTTCTCTCTCTCGGATGCCCCTCCCAGCCTTAATAAAGCATCTCAAGCCCCAATGCGAAGCTGCCACGTGGAGCTTTCTCATAGGGTGGTGAAAAACCATGCGCCAACTCTCCCAAATAAGGAGTTGTTTGTCACAGACCACAGCGGAGCCAGCGCCATCTTGTAATGGCGACCATAGTCTGCAGAAATGGCAGAAGCGGCTCACCACATTTTTGTAAAAAAATTTTTTTTCTTTTCTTTCTTTCTTTATTTTCTAACTTTTTTGTGTGTTTTGTTTTTGTTTCTTTTGTCTTTTCATTTCTTTTCAATTTTCTTATTCCCCCTTCCTTGAATTCTACCTGTCTACTCTCATTCTCTTTAGTGACTTCTTCCCTTCCCTTCTAATATCTTTCCTCCCAAGCATCAAATAAATTTATAAGAGTAAACAGTAACTCAGCAGTGAAACAGAACAAGAAGTAACATGAGCAGCATAAAAAAGCAAGGAAGAAAAGGGGTACAAACAATGAAGGACAGCCTAAATATTCAGGAGGACCTAGAGTCAGCAGAAAAATGGTCATATAAAGAATTCAAGGAACACCTTAGACAGATGGAATGGAACCTTAAAGAGGATACGAGACAGCAAATCCAAACAGTGAAAGAACACTTTGAAAATCAATTACGTAAACAGATAAAAGAAGAAGTTAAGCATCTTTATCAGGAGATAGAGATTATAAAAAAAAATCAAACAATAATTCTAGAAATGAAGGAAACGATAAACCAAATTAAAAACTCAATTGAGAGTATCACTAACAGAGTGGAGCAAGTAGAAGCCAGAACGTCAGATAATGAAGACAAAATATATCATCTTGAAATGAGCCTAGCCAACTCAGAGAGGCTGGTTAAAAATCACGAGAGAAACATCCAAGAGATATGGGATAACATAAAAAAACCAAACCTACGAGTCATCGGGATAGAAGAAGGTACAGAGATTCAAACCAAGGGAATGAGTAGCCTGCTGAATGAAATAATTACAGAAAACTTTCCAGAAATAAAAAAGGGAACGGATATACAAATTTTAGATGCATACAGGACACCGAGCACAAAAAATCACAGTAGACCAACGCCAAGACACATTGTTATGAAGATATCCAATATACAGAACAAAGAGAAAATATTAAAAGCTACAAGAGAAAGGAGGCAGATTACATTCAGGGGTAAACCAATAAGGTTAACAACGGATTTTTCATCACAGACGCTGAAAGCGAGAAGATCCTGGAACAACGTATTTCAAACACTGAAAGACAATGGATGCCAACCAAGAATTCTGTATCCAGCAAAATTAAGCTTCAGGTACGACAACAAAATAAAAATCTTTCATGATAAACAAAAGCTAAAAGAATTTGCAGCCAGAAAACCAGCATTGCAAAGCATCTTGAGCAAAACACTACACGAGGAAGAAATGAAAAACAATAACCAAAACCATCAGTGGGAAGTACCTGTATAAAAACAGAGGGCGGGGGGAAAGCTAACCATGGAGAAACAAACTAAATTAAATTAAAAAAAAAGAAGATAAATAATCAAACATGGCTGGAAGTACAAACCATATATCAATAGTAACTCTAAACGTTAATGGCTTAAACTCTCCAATAAAGCGACATAGGCTGGTAACATGGATTAAAAAAACAAATCCAACAATATGCTGCCTCCAGGAGACACATCTGATTGGAAAAGACATACACAGGCTGAAGGTGAAAGGTTGGGAAAAAATATACCACGCACATGGTCCTCGTAAGCAAGCAGGGGTGGCCATCCTCATATCGAATAAAATCGACTTCAAGACTAAGTTAATCAAAAGGGATAAGGAAGGACATTATATACTGTTAAAAGGAACCATTCATCAACAAGACATAACAATTATCAATATTTATGCACCAAATAATGGTGCTGCAACGTTCATAAAACAAATTCTCCTCAAGTACAAGAATCAAATAGACCACAACACAATAATTATGGGTGACTTCAACACACCTCTCTCACAATTGGACAGATCCTCCAAACAAAAGTTGAATAAAGAAACTATAGAACTCAATATCACAATCAACAACCTAGACTTAATTGACATATATAGAATATATCAACCATCATCAAGTGGATATACTTTTTTCTCAGCAGCACATGGATCCTTCTCAAAAATAGACCATATATTATGCCATAGGGCAACCCTCAGTAAATATACAGGGGTGGAGATAATCCCATGCATTTTATCTGATCATAATGGAATGAAACTGGAAATCAATGACAAAAGAAGGAAGGAAAAATCCTACATCACATGGAAAATGAACAATATGTTACTGAATGAACAATGGGTTACAGAAGACATAAAGGAGGAAATCAAAAAATTCTTAGAGATAAATGAAAATACAGACACAACATATCGGAATCTATGGGACACAATGAAAGCAGTTTTAAGAGGGAAATTCATCGCCTGGAGGTCATTCCTCAAAAAAAGGAAAAACCAACAAATAAATGAGCTCACACTTCATCTCAAAGCCCTAGAAAAGGAAGAGCAAAACAACAGCAAATGTAGCAGAAGGCAAGAAATAATTAAAATCAGAGCGGAAATCAACGAAATTGAAACAAAAGAAACTATTGAAAAAATTAACAAAACTAAAAGTTGGTTCTTTGAAAAAATAAATAAGATCGACAGACCCTTAGCCATGCTAATGAAGACAAGAAGAGAGAGAACTCAAATTACTAACATACGGGATGAAAAAGGCAATATCACAACAGACACTACAGAAATACAGAAGACAATTAGAAATTATTTTGAAAACCTGTATTCCAATAAAATAGAAGATAGTGAAGACATCGATAAATTCCTTAAGTCATATGATTTGCCCAGACTGAGTCAGGAGGATACTCACAACTTAAACAGACCAATATCAATAGATGAAATAGAAGAAGCAATCAAAAGACTTCCAACCAAGAAAAGCCCAGGACCGGATGGGTATACAGCGGAGTTTTACAAAACCTTTAAGGAAGAATTAATACCAATACTTTTCAAGCTATTTCAGGAAATAGAAAAAGAGGGAGCTCTGCCAAATTCATTCTATGAGGCCAACATCACCCTGATTCCGAAACCAGACAAAGACACCTCAAAGAAAGAAAACTACAGACCAATATCTCTGATGAACCTAGATGCAAAAATCCTCAATAAAATTCTGGCGAATCGGATACAAAGGCACATCAAAAAAATTGTGCACCATGATCAAGTAGGATTCATCCCTGGGATGCAAGGATGGTTCAATATACGGAAATCAATAAATGTTATTCACCACATCAATAGACTTAAAGATAAGAACCATATGATCATCTCAATAGACGCAGAAAAAGCATTCGACAAAGTACAGCATCCCTTTATGTTCAAAACATTAGAAAAACTAGGAATAACAGGAATTTACCTCGACATAGTAAAAGCTTTCTATGCTAAGCCTCAGGCTAGCATCATTCTCAATGGAGAAAAATTGAAGGCATTCCCCCTAAAATCTGGAACAAGACAGGGATGCCCTCTATCACCACTTCTATTCAATATAGTTCTCGAAACACTGGCCAGAGCAATTAGACAGACGAAAGAAATTAAAGGCATAAAAATAGGAAAGGA